GGGAAGCAAAAGAGAGAGAAGATAGGCCTGGGATCCCAATATCCCTTCAAGGGGCCTTCAAGACCCCAATGGCCTAACTTCCATTAGGCCCATTGGGAGGTTTTACCACCTCCCAATAGGGCTGGGGAAGTAACCTTCAGAATATAGGCCTTTTGGGAACATTTAAGATCCAAAATATAATGACTAATTTTACAGTATCAGGTCTTACATTTAAGTCTAATCCGTTTTGAGTTGATTTTTATATATGATGAGAATAAAGGGTCTAATTTGATTCTTTTGCGTGTAGATATCTAGTTTTCCCAGTAGCAGTTCTTGACAATATCCTTTTTCCATTACAACTGATATGAAGTGGAGTCAGTCTTCGGAGATGGAAATTACTGGTGGAATGAACTGGCATTTAAATACCCATACCTGCACATCAACCATCTGGAATTCCATTTCTGCCCCTCTTGTTCCCCACATGGTAACATTCATGCTGTTTAATTGCTTTCATTTTTTTATAGACACAAATAACATAGAAATTTGTATTGTAGAAGTAGTTTGAGCACTAATATCTGATATAAACATATTGAACTATTTCATAAACTAAAATATGAAAATTCAAATTTAAGACATCTTTAAGTCATATAATTCTCTTATCAACATAGAATCTTCCTATATTTTAAGCTATGCTTATTGAGCATCTGTTAGTTCCAGGCACTGTGCTGAGTAGTAAAGATACAGAATCAAATAGGAATTGGCTCTTTTTTCAAGGAACCATAAATATAGATGGACATGTCATCAAATAAAGGAATTGAAAATTATAAGTGCTTAAAATAGAGTACTTTAAATGGTGTGTTGGTTAGTTGCATACAGGAATTGAGCATGAAATAAAAGATGAGGCAAATTGAGAGTTACTAGTTGGCAAAGGGCAGAAAAGTTTTTTTGTTGTGGTTTGGTTTTTGGTGGGACTGGAGTTTGAACTTGGGACTTCATGCTTGCAAAGCAAGCGCTCTACCACTCAAGCTACTCCTCCAGGCCATTTAGCACTGGTTATTTTTTAGATGAGGTCTTGTGAACTAACCACCCAGGTTGGCCTCAAACCGTAATCCTCCCACTCTCAGCCTCCCAAGTACCAAGGATCAAATGTGTGAACCATCAGTGTCCAGTGGGCAGAAGGTTTTGTATTTTAGAAAAACAATTTATAAAATAAAATACAACATATCATACAACACCTCAGAGGGAGCGGAAGAGCACATATTAATTGACATATTACTATTTTGCAGAAAAATGCAAACATGATCATGAACAAATATTTGCACTTAGTAGGGTAAATAGTGACTATAGCCTTCTAGTTCATGTAACATTTTCCAGCTATAAGGGTTTGTCACAAGCATAACAAAATAAACTTGTTTTCCAGAGCCTTTTGCATATTAGAATCGCACAGGTCCACATCACTGATTTTAAATCCTTAGGGACAATTGTGTTTTGAAATCCAAAAAATTAAATATGACTAAGAAGCTAAAAAAACTTATGGCAAAGAAAGTTCCATTGATTATTGACTTGATACTTTTGAAATGTAAGTGTTTAATGCTATAAAATTGCCTGTAAATCTTGCATTAGATGCAAACTGTATATTTTGTTATGTTGTGGGATTTTCCTATTTCTCCTTTTAGTCTGGCCAAAGTTTTTGCTTTATGTAATTTGAAATTCTGCTGTTTGGTACATGCATATTTAGGATTATTATGCATTCTATCAGTATGTGACATTCTCTTTTACCTCTGAAAGTTGTCTTTGCTCTGAAGTCTTTGATATTAACATAGCAGCTTTCTTTTGAGTAGTGTTTACATGATATATATCTTTCTCCATACACTTACTTTTTAAGCTTACCATCTCATTGTATTTGAATTTACTTAAAATATATTCTGACAATATCTTTCATTTAGTGTATTTAGACCATTGCATTTAATTTCATTATTGATGGGTTTGTAGTTAGGTCTGCCATTTTACTATTTTCTGTTTGTTCCCTCTATGTTTTGCCACTGTTCTTTGCTTTCTATTTCCTGTCTCCTGTGTTCTTTAACCTTTTTTTTTTTTTGAGGATGTGAAAACTCCCACTTTATTCTAGCCTGCATTGGTTTCTGATGAAAAATCAATAGTCATCTGAATCATTCCCTTATAGGCATTGTGTTGTCTTTCTCTGGCCGATTTCAAGATTTTTTTTCTTTGTTTCTCATTTGTGGAACTTTGATTATGATGTGTCTTGAGTTCCATTCAGCTTGAATCTGCACTTTATGTCTTTTGCCAAACTTGAATATAATTGGGAAAAATTTCTGCCCTTAATTCTTTAAATACTTTTTTAGCACTGCACTCACTTTCCTCCTCATATTTCAGTAATTCAAGCATTACACTTTTTAGATGTTGTCCCACTGGTCCTTGAGACTTTGATTCTTTAAAATATTTTATTTTTCTATTCTTCATAATAAATTATTTCCATTGGTCTGTCTTCAACTTAACTGAACCTTTCCTTTGTCGTCTCCATTCCAATATTGAATCCTTCCATTGTGTATTTTTTATTTTTGAGGTACTGGGGCTTGAACGCAGGGCCTTCACCTTGAGCCACTCCACCAGCCCTTTTTTGTGATTTTTTTTTTTTGAGATAGGGTCTCGTGAACTATTTTCCTAGGCTGGCTTTGAACGATTCTCCTGATCTCTGCCTCCTGAATAGCTAGGATTACAGGGGTGAGCCACCGGTGCCCAGCTCTATTGTGTATTTTTATTTGTCATTTATTTTTCAGTTCTAAAGTTTTCATTTGACTTTTATCCATATTTTTTATTTTTTGCTGGTGCTTTCTATTTTAACTTTTCTTTCACAAGTGTCCATGATTGCTCATTCAATCATTTTTATGATAGCCACTTAAATGTTTTTGTCAAATAATTCCAACATCTATATCATCTCATCATTGGCCTCTGTTGAATATCTTTTTCCATGCAAACTGAGTGTGGCTCTTCATGTATGAAATAATTTTAGATTGCATTATGTACATTTTTTTTGGCGATCCTGGAGTTTGAACTCAGGGCTTTGCACTCGCTAGGCAGGCACTCTACTACTTGAGCCACTCTGCCAGCCTTGCATTATGTACATTTTGGCTGTTATTTTATAAGACTCTGTCTTTTGTTAAATGTTATGGATCATGTTTAGTAATTAGTGTTTGCTGATTTACTGGGGGAAATGGTCAGTGAGCCGAGGAATTCATAAACAGCTTCCCTCTGGTATTTTCCAGTTTCCTGGTTATTGCTACACCTAATCACTCCTGTGACTGAGATAAATCAAGGTAAAATACAGAGAGAATTTAAGGAAAAACATTTTGTCTCCATAAGGAGACATAGATCCACCTAATGTAAAAAAACCCCTCTTTTTACTCAAATATTTGGTTCTTGTAAAATAATATTTGTACTTTTATGTCTGGCTTATTTTACTCAACACAGTGTCTTCAAGGTTTGCCCATATTGTGGTATCTGTCAGAATATCATTCTTCCTTCAAAATTATTTGTTTGTTTAATTGACAAATAATAATTGTACATCTATAAAGTACAATGTGATGTATGTATGCATTATAGAAAAAGTATCAAGCCAGTTTAACATATTCATCACCCCACCTTCTTATCATTTTTGTGGTGAGAACATTTAAAATCTATTCTTTTCACAATTTAGGAAGAAGTAGTAATAGTGCACTTGCTGACAGGCCTCAGGCTCGGAGGAATTTGTGTCATATTGTAACACAATGATTGAGATTACAAGGTGTGGTACCAGGCTGCTTTACTTTGAAACCAGGTAGAGCCTGCTTAATACTGTGTGACCTTGGATAAGGTGTACAACCTCTCCATACCTTAATTCTCAATGTAAAATGGGGATAAAAATATCACCTATCATATAGGGTTGTTATAAAGATTAAATAAGGTAATACATGTAAAACACTCAGAATATTAGCTAGTGAGGTGATGATGGTGGTGGTGATGAAGACAGTGATATATGATGGCAATTTTTTGTCACAGTACTCTCATTAACAAGTACATGAGACACAAATTATTACATATAATCCCCTCAGTCCTCAGGGATGGTTATAAAAATAGGAAGGCAAAGAGAATGATAATCCCCCCAAACAATAATGAAGATGTTCTGGGACTATTATGAACACACTGGGCATAATTCTAGACATTTGCATCGCTTTTTTATTCTCAAACTTTAATTTACATATGATTTACCTGAAGGTATTGTTAAACTACAGCAGATCTGGGATGGAGATTGAGATTCTACATCTCTAGCAATGCCTCAGGTGTTTATTCTTTTGGTCCATGGATTAGACTTTAATTAGCAAGAACTAATGGTAAGTGATTGGTAATAGTCACAGAGCACCAGCACTAAGAATAGAAACTACTCATTCGAGTTTAGCTCAGATGATATGTTTCAGCAATGAAGAACAAATTTGGTGGTCTTGGGGTTTTAAACTCAGGGCCCCACACTTGCTAGGTACATTTGCTATCACTTGAGCCATACCCTCAGTCATTTTTGCTTTAGTTATTTTTTGAATATGGTCTTGCATTTTTGCCTGGGCTGGGGGAGACCGTGGTCCTCCTATTTACAATCCCATGTAACTGGGATGACAGGTGTACACCTCCATGCTCACTTTATTGGCTGAGATGGGCTGGCCTCAAACCAAGATCCTCTTGACCTCTACCTCCTGAGTAGATGGTATTACAGTCTTGAGCCACCATGCCCAGCCTGGAATAAAGAAAAAAATTAATAGTGCAATTAGGAGCCAGGAAATAAGAATACTTTAGGAAGGGTAGAAAAACTGTATCTCTGCCTCTGTATTCAAGCCCTCTGGCCAATTACTAGTACTCTGGGGTATGTCAAAGGTTATAGGTCATTTTATCTTGTGTAATATTACCTAGGAATGGACAAAGACACTAAGACAAGTCATGGTTTAGAGTCATGCATTATTTGATGTTATGCTCATATTACTGTGCTTTTTATCTGTTGTAACACAAGCCAAATTATCTTCATTTTTCACTATCTTACCCATCTAAAAGATATCATAAGCAAAGACTGGAAGTGAGCACTGCAAAATGAAGAAGGCTTTATTTGTTGGAGGTAGTGAAATTATGGTTGGAAATTTTCTTTCCTTAATTTTATCTATTAATGTTATTGTTTTATTTATGCAGTATAAAATGAAGGGTCATAGCTCTTTCTTTCTTATCTAAGTTCACATTTCTTATGGATATGGAATATTTTCCAAGAAAATTCCTACTACTTAGGAAATTCTAGCTACTATGAACTCTGCTCTGGCTTCCAAGACGTCATACCAATGATCAGAAGTCTTTAAACCTCCTAAGTCTGCCGTGTGCAAGGAAAGATAATTATTCTGATTGTAAAAGACTAACTATGAATTTGTTCTCAATATTAAATATATGGCATATTCTCTATTTTAATATAGTCATGTCTTGCTTAACAGTGGGAATATAGGACTGGCTACGTGGCTCAAGTGGTAGAGCATCTGTCTAAAAAGTGAGAGGTCTTCAGTTCAAACCCCAGTACTACCCCCCGCAAAAAAACCCAGTAGGATACATTCTTAAAAATGTGGCATTAGGCAATTTCATTATAAAGACATCAAAGAGTGTGCTTATGTAAAATTAGCAGCTATGATGTCACTAGGCAAGGTAATCTTGTGGAACACTGTTGTATATGAAGTTGATTATTTACTGAAATGTTGTTATGCAGTACATTCTATAATTCTTATTAAGTATTGGTAGAACATGTGCTATATAGTAACTGGACCTTTTCTTTAAAGTACCACCTCCAGTGGCTTATCCAGTGACTTCATAACAAGTACCTATATACAGAATGGTTAAAAAAACCCTCTAAGATATCAAGAGTGTGAAATATGTTTAAAACTCCTTATGATTTACACTGACAGGAAAGGATGGGTGACCAGGGTCCAAGTTTCAAAAGAAGTGTGGCAGACTCCAGGTTACAGGCATCAGCAGCCATAGGACATCTATTAGGGTAACAGTGCTTGAAGCAAAATGTACAGATTGCAGAATGAAAACTGTGGAGTGCCACATGAACAGCCAGGTTATTTCACAAATTTTTTTCCAAGTAAGGGTGACTAGAGAGTGGAGTTGACAAGAATCAGGTACAAAGTAGTCTCCAGCATTGGTTGGACTATAGAATGGAAATCCCACTAATAACTATATACCCAGATGGACTGAATGAGACATATACATCTAGGTTCTCTAGAATGACTAGTTTCACCATATAGGGCTATTTCAGGGTGTACTATCTGATAGCATCACTTCTGCCCTATTGTACGTACTGTGGGTATTTTTAAATCCCCAAGTGAAAGACTGTTAATCTCCATCTTATTCAATTGGGACCCTATCTCTAGCCTGTCAAGAACATTAATGCTTCTGGTTATATTTAATTTATTCATTATCTTTTCCAATGTGTATGCTATTCACATGCTCAATGAAGACCAATGCTGGGCATGGTGGTACATGTCTGTAATCCCAGCACTCAGGAGGCTGGGGCAACAGGATCATGAGTTTGAAGCCAGCCTAGGCTACATAGCAAGACTGTATCTCTAAACCCCACCCCCCCAAAAAAAAGAGATGAAGACCAAGAACATAGCCTAGCAACATATCACCAGAAACCTTCTAGCAGGTCAATACATTAATCATTAGTCTTTGGTTATGAGTCAGTTAAACAGTTTATCATTTATCCAGGTGTCTTTGAGTAAGCCATATTGCCTCAACTTGTGATGAAAAGGTTCAATAGGTAAAAACATAATGGGTTTAGTAAGCCATGACTAGAGTTTACACACTATCTTTAGTAAGTCTATTAATGGGTCTGTGCAACTTCCTTATGTTTTCCTTAATTACATGCTTTCTTTCATCTTCTGATTATATTTTAAAAATCTGAGTTCACCAGGCCACTGGAAAAGTGATACAGACTAGAGAGGTGTAGAAGGAAGAATCAACACATTAATTCTCAGCCCTTAATGCCTTTGACCTGATGTGCCTGCCCTTCACTCACTGCTTTTACTCCATAAATACTACATGTCTGACACATTTGGCATTTAAATGGCCCATTGTACTAAAGTACTTCATCATATATATCTATATCTATATATATCTATATATAGATATATATCAGTATATAGACTTCCCTTCCTGTTTCTTGTAAAGAATTCTTTGTAGGCCTTAGTTTGTGTTAATTCATCCCCAATTTTCAAGAACTATTCTTTAGGTCTTCTCACCTTACACTTCATCACTACTAGTTCCTTCATAGATCTATTTTTTTCTTTATACTTGGCATTTAGATTCCTTTCAGTTGACATTCACTAAATGGAATATTTACTCTTGGCTCCTTGGCCTTTTGATATAATTGTATTAGGAGAACAATTAAAAACTAAGTTTTCACTCTTTTTTTCATTCAAATTCATAGGTTCCAAGTCCCATGGAATCTCCTTCTCTAATGACATGTCAACCCATAATTTATACCCAAGAAGGCTTAAAGACCAGCAATCTTTCCATTCTACCTCAAGGACATCAGGTATGTGAGCTGTTGTTGCTTAGAGTTTTGGTAGAGATGGGAAGTCACTGAAGGCAGAATCTAATGCTGTAATGGAATTTTATAACATATTCATTTTTTGTAGTATTGGTCTCTCAAAGAAGAAAAACATTCTGGCATTTTATACATCATAAAAAGACACAACTGTGTAAACCCAGTGCAGACCTCTATACACTTGTGTTATTAAATTTCAACTGGGTTCTTACATTTATTTAGCAATCCTTTTATTCATTAATTTACTCATTTATTCAATAACCTCCAACTGTAATTAGTGCCAAAGATGAGTAATCCAGCCTGGACATTTCAGGGAAGAGTTCCTAAGAAACTGATACATAGGTTGAATGGTAAGATTAAAAATAGTCAGAAGTGAGGTAAGAGTGATCCAGACAAACATATATAAATAGTCCATTAGAGAGGGAAACACAAAGCCCACCCCAGGGGCACTCAACGGAGGGAATAATTAATTCAGAGATGGAAGGTTTCTGGGCAGTGAGTATTGAATGATAAAGGAGATTTCAACTAGTGAATATACAAAGAATAGAAACTTGGCATTACAGGAGATATACCTTGCCTCAGAGTATTATTTTCTAGAAAATGTTTTGTCTTGTCAGTCTTCAGCTGATGTGTTGAGTCCTCAGATTCCTGAATATCTGATTTAGGAGACCTAACAAAGCTTCAGGTATTGGATACTGAGAAAAACGGCCACAGTTTTGTATGAAAATATTTGTATTTTTTCAAAACCATAAATAAAAATATGTAGAAATGATTAAATATTTACATATCTGTCTTTCTTTCATTCAGATGCAGTCCAAGTAGAAGTTGCAAAGTAAAAAGATTCAGATTCAGAGGTGAAAAAAAATGGTGATCTTTCTACAGGCTGAACTAAATCATTCACATCTTCCAAATGCAATAAACATTCACTTGGACATTTAATGCTCTTGAAATTCTTCAATTCAGTGTTTTGGAGGCTATGCAATCTATTTCTCTTATTTTGATAGTTATCCTTAATTGTTTTTCTTCATGGGCTTTAAATAGTTTCTTATGAAGCATGTCTTTTATCACAAATTAAATTATACAAAATAAATTTTATTTGGATTTTTCTTAAAAAGGTATCTTTGAAATTTTATCTTGAAAAACTAAAGTTAATTTCTTAATGCCCCTTCCAAAAGGAGCTTAGACCATGTTATCTCCAGGGCATATATAGCAGTTTTTTCAAAATTCTTTGTTCCCCATTCCTTTTTGTATTAGGATCATTTCCCTCTTCCTTGTAATAGATCTATAGAAGTACATTTAGCCTAGTTATGCTGGTGATAAACTCAGTTTTTGTTTACTTGAAAATGTATTTCTTTATACTGTTTTTTTTTTTTTGAGACAAGGTCTCATGTTGTAGCACATTGGCCTCGAATGCGTGATCCTCCTGCCTCAGCCTTCTAAGTGCTGGTATTACAGATATGCACCACATACCATGCCCAGCTCACACACATTTTTAAACTAAACTAAATCAATATACATACATAAACTGCTATAAGCATTTTTATATGTCTCTTTTTGTAGACAAACAAGTATATATCTCTTGAGTAAATACAGTGAGATGTCTGCATCATAGAGTCGGTGTTTGTTTTAATTTAAAACTAAATTTAAGGGCTAGAAGCATAGCTCAGTGTACATGCCTAGCATGTTTGAGGCCTGGATTCCATACCCTGTACCACAAAACCAACCAACCCCTCAAAACCACTATATTTAAAAATAATCCTCCTTCCAGTTCTCCTACCTCTTGTTCTCCATACTCACTCACTTGTACCCCAATTGTTCAACCCTCCTCCTTTCATAAGGGTACCTGGAGTTTTGTCATACACACACTTCCTTGAACTGGGCTGCCCAGAATCAGTCTGCCATTCATCCCTTCCTCTTTAACCTCTCTCGTGGTCTTCTTGCCCCCTCTTTGTGCAGGTTCAGAGGACCCAGAATTGACACACTGGTCCCACATCATCTCTCCAATTCTCCTATCCTACCTATTTCTCTTTCCACTTCCCCTCTCACCAGTCTTTCAGCCCCATCCCTCTTTACCCAGCCTTGTAACCTTGCCCTCTCCCTGTCCATGTTTTGAGCTTGTTCAGAGGGTCCAAAACTGATACACACATACTCTTAAACTGGGCTTACTGCCGTGGCGGCAGCAGCAATGACTATCTCAATATGGGTTACTGTGTCCCACACTCCCTCCTCCTAAGACCCTCTCCTAGGTCTTCCAGTCCCACATTCTCTCCTCAGTTTCCTGCCCCTTCCTAGTCCTTTGTCCCCAGTCCTTTCCTTAATCATTAGTCTTTTAACTCAAGTCCTTCCATCCTTTCATAATCAATTCCTATATGAAATTTCCTGGCTTTGCAATATTTAACAAAGATTTCATTTTGCTCATTTAATACTGACTAAACACCTACTTACAGTTTGCTGAGATATTTTAAAAAAAGTTATGAGTGTTATATTTTGTCAAATACAGTTTTGGAACCTAACAAGATTATTTTGTCTTTTAGTCTTTTAAAATAATAAATTACAGTGTCAGAGTTCCTAATGATAAATAATTCTTACATTTTGGGATAAACCTTTCCTAGTTGCACATGTTTTTTATTTTATTTTATTATATTATTGTTGTTCTGGGGGTACATTATGACATTTACAAAAGTTCTTAAAATATATCATAGTTGCATTCACCCCCTCATTATTCTCCTAATTGCACATGTTTTTAAAATGCATTTCTCAGCTCAACTAATTTGCTACAATTACAGTTTTTAAGAACAGTTATATTTGAGATTGATTGGAACCAAGGGTTGGCAAACACTTTCTATAAACGTCCAGATAGTGAATATTTTACACATTATGCACAATATAGTCTTTCTTTGCAACTACTCAATTTGTACTTATGTCTCGTAGTCAATAACAATATATAAATCTATGACTGTTGACTGTGTGCATATAAAGTTCTAAGGATACTGAAAATTATAATTTTCATATATCATGAAACATTATCTTTCTTTTGATTTTTTCCAACCATTAAAAATATTTAAAAAAAACATTCTTAGACCACAGATCATACAAAAACAGATGGTAAGCCAGATTTGGCACACGGGTCATAGTTTACCTATCTTGGGTCTATATTTTTATTTTGGAGATGGTATCCTCTTATGATTTTTAAATTATTTATATGTTAATAGTGCTCAGTGACTTCAGGATCTTTCTACCATTTTCTGTGCTTTCTAACAGTTAAAATTACATGAGAAGTATCTTCTTATTGGATGTGTTAAAAATAGTTTATAAAGCTGTCTGTACTTGGTACATCTGGGAGGATTAGGTCATTGATTAACTTTTTCTCCTCTAATTAAGAAGTTCTTCTGGACTGGTGGAGTGGCTCGTGTGGTAGAGTACCTGTCTAGCAAGCATGAAGTCTTAAGTTCAAATCCCAGTACCACCAAAAAGTTTTTTTCTACTTAAGAACTTGCAATGTATGAACTATTAAATGTTGAGTATATGACCTATTATAGATGGGCAGAAAAATATTTAAGCTCTACTAGGCATTGATTAATGTGACAGCTTACTATGACATGAAAAGAATAAGACAAATTCCTGCCTTGGAGGGAGGAGTGTTAGAGGAAGATGGACCCCAAACCATCTCTCTCTAGGATGATCAAGGCAGAACTCACTTATTCATCTCTGTGTTGTTCCAGTATCCTGTTGTTTCTAGCAATGTTCCTCCTTGTCTCTAGTTCCTCTCTCAGGAGGACCTAAGTCATCTTTCTCTCATCAGGCTTCCTATTCTCTCCTTAGTTTCTTTGTATCTACTTGGAGACTAGGTTTTCAGACTGTACACAAGTTTTTATCATATGAACGATATCCTTTGCTGCTTCAGTTTCATACTTGTCATTCTTTTCTTCAAAAACAAAGAAAAACAAAACACAAACACTTCTTAGTTGCTTCCAAGGTAATTATTGTATAAATAATTTCTTATATATAACTTTATATAAATTAAAACAATAAACAGTATTATGCACAAATATATAAACATTCACATATATGAATATATGTAAATATATCAACAATACTAATGGGAATTTATAATGCATTAAATAAAAAATGAATTATAGAATGAGTAGGATACATTGTTACAAAGATGGCACCTGGCTTCTGAGACAGGTTCACTGGCAGAATCTGCTAGTAAGCCTAATAGTCTTCATGTTCACATGAATTGGTTTGCTAATTCAGTGAATTTTTTTTGAGAATCCAAGTAGAACGAGGACACAAAGAGAAAAGTCTCTAATTCAAAGCACCTTCTGATCAGTTGGGGAAATGATTAAGAAAATAGCCCAGCTATGTGATTATCATATAATGTTGTAAGTGATAGACAACTCACAAAGGAGTTTAATAGGGAGCTATAACTATTTACAATAGCCAAGCTATAGAGTCAGACTAGGTGCCCATCAACCACTGAATGGATAAAGAAAATGTAGTACATGTACACCATGGAGTACTGTTCAGTCATAGAGTAGAATGAAATTATGTTGTTTGTAGGAAAATGGACAGAAGTGGAGATCATCATGTTAAGTGAAATAAGCCAAGCTCAGAAAGACAAATATTTCATTTTCTCTCATATGCAGGATCTAGACCTAAAAAGAATAAACAATATGACATATATGAAAAAGAAGGTTCTTTGAAGAGGGGTGATCCAGTGGGAGGGAAAGGGAAAAGTAAGGATGGACGGGGTGAATATGATCATAGTGCATTATATGTGTGTATGAAAATAGCATAATGGAATCCACTAAAATGGTAAAAAAAAAACAGGAGATAAGAAAGAGTAATGGGGGGGTGTATTTGATCAAAGTAAAAGCTATGCATGCATGGAAATACAATGAAACCCTCTTCTACAATTAATATATGCTAATAAAATAGGAAGCTGTATATTTAGCTTTGGGTGGTGAGTTTTAGAATCCTACACA